GGGTGGCTTGGTTTTGGTGTTGGACTGTGTGTTATGTAACTATGAAATGATTCTAAATACTTCCAAAGTTTGATGTTTTTGAAGTGTGTTTCCTCCTTGCTACAGCATGATGTGTTGCCAGACCTCATATGTCCCATCAGACTTCCCACGTGTCAGCTACTGATCTAAACTACTGAACTTCAGAAAAGATCCTAACTCAAGAGTTTTACAGACACCTTGAGAGTTTAGGTTAAGGTAGAGCCACACTGTCATGTGAAAGCCCATGACACTTCTCTAGAGCCAAGAAGTGACAAGGCAAAGCCTCATCAGCTGCAAATTAATCACCCACCAATACCACCTGCTACCAACTAGCAATAAGAGACCTTATCTGTTATCGTGACTGTCCACCGAGATGGTCAAGCTGGCTTCTCCAAGTACTGCTAGTGTACAGGAAAACCTCAGCTTCAATGAGACTTGACTTTTCACAGGGTCTGTTTCCATATTAATTGAACAAGTGGACTTTAAGAATTTTGGAAACCCTACTATGTAGTTAAAGTACTTCATCTACATGGTGTATTCTATGAGGTTTTTTTTTTTACATTATTCTCTCCCTTCTGAGCATTGTAAACCTACACAACAATTCTCATTGTATTTCAATAAACTCTGATTCATTAAATCATCTCCTCATTTCTGTCATACACAACAAATGGCAGTCAGCAGGATTTCACAATGCAGAGAGGTGAATGGTTAAACAAAGTTCAAATTTTAACTTTAATTTTAATGAAAGTATAGAGAAAGGAAATTGCATAGCATTCTTCTTCATTCTCAATATTCCACTGTATTTTCACCTTTGATGAGCCGGGAAGAATTTCTGAAAGTGGCAAAGTGATACAAAGTATACGAATTCTGTGCCATTATCACAAACACTTCGTTCAAATTAGTTGAGTAGCATAAACCTGTTCTTACTATAAATCATGATATATGCACTACTCAGTACCTTAGGATGATGGCATAATTGGTTTTTTTTTTGACCAGTAAGTATATAAAGGTAAGTGAATAAATTATTATTATTATTATTTTCATTTTGAAATTTGGAAACTATTTTATATCATAACAAACTAGAAATTTTTATTTACTTATTTATTTAGGTACCAGGAATTAAACCCAGAGTAACTCAATTACTGACCCACATTCCCAGCCCTACTTTGTGTTTTATTTTGAGATGGGGTTTCGAGTTGTTTAGGACCTCACTAAGTTGCGGAGGCTGGTTTTGAAGTCGTGATCTTCCTGCTTCAGCCTCCTGAGCTTCTGAGATTATTGGCATGCACCACTACACCCAGCAAAACTACCAAATTTTAAATGAATGGTATACATAAAACAATAAGTTGGAAGCCAGGTATGGAGGTATATGCATGGAATCCCAGTGACTTGGGAGTCCGAGGCAGGAGGATCACAAGTTTGAGGCCAGATAGGAAACTTAGTGATATCCTGTCTCAAAATTAAGTTTAAAATAACTGGGGCTATAGTTCCTTGGTAGGGCACCCATATAACCCCAGTTCAGCAAATTAAGGTATGGAGATCTCTACTATCTACACCTAGTAAATTAAAGACGGACAATTTCAGATCATAATGGTTCAACTAGAACCTGTCTACATCTCAGAACAAGGCTTATATATGCACTTTAGAAGTCTCTTTTTGGGTTTAAGACATCAAGAATACACACTGCCTTTTATGAAAACCCAAACAACTGAGTGTTGTGAAGGCACTCATCTCACAGGAAAAATTTACATACTCATGGGCTAATGATGAAATTTCCACATTCTTTATAATCCTACTCCCTCTGTCTCTATCGAATGCTTTAATACCTTGCTTAAATAAAAGCTCCAATTGCTTACTAACCCTTAAAACAGTTCTATAAAATCATTTAAAAAAAATAGAAAGCCTGCAGTGCCTTGTAATCCCAGCAATATGGAACGCTGAGGCAGGAGGAATGCAAGTTCAAACCCAGCCTCAGCAACTTAGCAAGGCCCTAAGCAACTCACCAAGGCCCTATCTCTAAATAAAATATAAAAAACTGGCTGAGGATGTGATACAGTGGTTAATTGCCTCTGGGTTCAATCCCCAGTACCAAAAACAAACAAACAAAGATATAGACACAATAGTGACACTCCTGTGAAAACATTACTACCAGCAAATATCACCAATACATCTTATTATACATAAGATTACCACTGATTATCATAAACACTTGAAAAGTATTAATTAAAAAACATGAGAAGGCTGAGGTTGTGGCTCAGTGGTAGTGAGCTTGCCTGGCAGATAGGGGCACTGGGTTCGATTCTCAGCACCACATATAAATAAATAAATAAAATAAAGGTCCATTGACAAATAAAAAAAATATTAAAAAACATGAAAGTGGTAACCATATGTAATTCCCTCTCAGTCACTGAGGGAATAAGGAAGGAAGAAACAAAATTAGTGAACAGCCTGGGCAATTTAGGCCTTGTGCCAAAATAAGCAATAAAATCTGCCATGGCCAAGTCAAGTGAGATAGTGGAAACCTATAGTCTCAGTGACTCCAGAAGCTGAGGCAGGAGGATTGACAGTTCAAAGCCAGTTTCACCAATTTAATGAGTCAGTAAGCAAATCACTGAGACCCTGTCTGTAAAAAAATACTTAAAAAGGGCTGGCGATGTGGTTCAGTGCTTAAGCACCCCAGGGTTCAATCCCCTGTACAAAACAAAACAAAAAACTCAAAGGCTGTAGCTCAGTGGATTCAAACCCCAGTATCAAACACACACACACACACACACACACACACACACACACACCACACAAGAATGAATGTCCAACTTGTTAATGAGGTACACACCTTTCTAGCAATTCTGCAAACTGAGGAAGGAGGAACCAAAGTTTGAAGCCTGTCTCAGCAACTGAGGGAGACACTGTCTTAAAACAGAAAGCAAAAAGGATTTGAATATAGATCAGTGACAGAGAATAAATGGGTTCAACCCCTAAATTCCCAACAGGAAAAAAAAAAAGAAAGAAAAAGAGGATGTTGGTCCATGAGTGCAGCTCTAAATTCAATCCCCAGTCCTGCCAAAAACAGAGTACATAGATTATGTCATTCATTAAATAGTTTAAGTGGGCTGGGGCTGTAGCTCTGTGGTAGCTTGCCTAGCATGCTTGAGGCACTGGGTCCAATCCTCAGCACCAAATAAAACAATACACAAACAAAATAAAGGTATTGTGTTCATCTATAATGTCAAAAAATATTAAAAGACATTCTTTAAGTTATAAGAATACTAGAAAACAAATATCTTTATAAACAATAATAACCAGTTAGAACATAATGGGGAAAAACTTATTAGGGACTCGGACCACCATGCCACGTAAACGCTATACATTAAACCCAGGGCCTCCACACATACTCAACATTCACCCTAGACCCTCAGCGCAGAAATAAGCAATGGTTAAAAATATATAACATCTAGGAATAAACTCTGAAGCAAACTCTACAGTTATAAAACTGCAAAACATGATGAAAAACTTCACCCAGCTGGAGTCAAATCTCTATTTGGATGAAAATCAAAAGGAAAACAAAAGACAATCACCTAATCCTGGACCCAGACGGTACAAGCCTGTAATCCCAGCTGCTCAGAAAGCTGAGACAGGAGGACAACTTGAGCCCCAAACTTTAAGGCAGGCCTGGACAAACATAAGAAGACCCTCTTCCAGAAAAAGAAAACAAACAATAACAACAAATATGAAATAGCTCTACTTCGGAGGTGAGGCAGTAGGATGAAAAATTGCAGGCTAGCCTGCTTCTAAATAAAAAATAAAAAGGGCCAGGGATAAAGCCCAGTCGTAGATCACCCCTGGGTCCAATTCCTAGTTCCAGAAAAAAAATAATAATAAGAAAAAAAAAATAAGGCAGTTCACAAACAAAAGGATAGGTCCCCAAACAAACAAACAAAAGATATATGTACAATAGTGACACTCCTCTGGAAACATTACTACCAGCACCAATCACCAATACAACTTACTATACATAAGATTACCACTGATTATCATAAATACTTTAAAAGGAAAAGTATTCATTAGAAAACATGAGAGCAAGGCCCAGAGGTGACCATCTGTAATCCCCTCTCAGTCACTGAGAGGGAACTAAGGCACAAAGGCAGGAGGAATGAAAGTTAGAGAGCAGCCTGGGAATTCAGACCTTTTGCCAAAATAAGCAATAAAAATTGTCATGGCTGAACCAGGCAAGGTGGTGCACACCTGTAATCCCAGAGGCTCTGGAGGGGAGGCAGGAGGATTGTGAGTTCAAAGCCAACCTCAACAACTTAGCAAGTCACTAAGTAAGCAACTCAGTGAGACCCTATCTCTAAATAAAATATTTTAAAAGGGCTGGGGATGTGGCTCAGTGCTTAAGCACCCTGGATTCAATCCTTAGTAAAAAAACAACAACAACAACCAAACAAACAAACAAAAAAACCACATGAATGTGGGTTAATGGTGAAACTCCTCTTGGTTGAATCCACAGTATCAAACACACACACACCCGCATGCACGCACACACAACTGAATGAATGTCCATCCGGTTACAGAGGTACACTCCTTTAATCCCAACAACTCTGCAAACTGAGGAAGGAGGCCAGCTTCAGCAACTGAGGGAGACATTGTCTTTAAAAGTAAAAAGCGGGGCTGGGGTTGTGGCTCAGTGGTAGAGCGCTTGCCTACCATGTGTGAGACAAGGAGTTCAATTCTCAGCACCATATATAAACAAATAAAATAAGGTTCATTGGCAATTAAAAACTATTTTTTAAAAAATGTGCTGGAGATGTAGCTCAGCGATAAAGTTGTCCTAGGCTCAATCCCCATTAGCAAAAATAGTTTAAACAAACAAGAGCAGACTAGTATGAGGCAATATCTGTGCATTGGCTTATTCAGGCTTCTAAAACAGAACCTCATTGCATCTCTTTCTTACAAACAACCGTTTATTTCTTACCGTTTTGCAGGTGTAAAAGTTGGAGATTGAAGACTGCTTCCAAATTGCTTAAGACACCTTCCTGCAGGCTCCTCACAAAAGGGAGAATCACTTTGGACCTCCTTTACATAGCCACATCCATATCCTGGGGTGTGGACTCCACCCTCAAGGTCGAAGGGTCCTCCCCCTAAGAGATAAGTTTCAGCACACTAATGGTACACTTCTGGCACTACCACTCCCTCCATACGGTGGAGTAAATTAGAGTGCATCCAAACAAAATATCACTCAGCCTTTGGGAAGTTATTTAGACCATGAGGCAAACAAACTTTTCATGTTTTGAGACAACTAAGGAAATCCAAACACCACCAGTGTGACAATAATAATGATTACTGTTGATAGTCTTGAATATTTAAGAAGATTTAGCTTTGAGAGATACATAATAGAACATTTAATGCAATGGTTTTGCTGGCCATGCATGAATAACTATTGAAGAGGGGAAAAGTGGCAAAAGCACAATGTCTCAACTTTTGGGAATATCAAAAATGTTCCAGGGCTGGAATTGTGGCTCAGTGGAGGAGCGTTCGTGTCGCATGTATGGAGCACTGGGTTCCATTCTCAGCACCACATAGAAATGAATAAATAAAATAAAGGTACTATGTCCATCAAAACTAAAAAAAAAAAAAAAGAAAGAAAAGAAAAGAAAGAAAGAAAATGTTCCACAAATGTTTTTTTAAGTTATTTATGTTTCCATTTACTGACATGAAAAACCTTAAGACAAACTGTTACATACAGTAGCAGGGAAAGAGCCAGGTGCAATGGCACATGCGTGTAATCCAATGGCTAGGGAGGCTGAGGCTAGAGGAGTGCAAATTCAAAACTAGCCTCAGCAACATAGTGAGGCCCTAAGCAACTTTGCAAGACCCTTTTGCAAGAAAGAGCAGGCTGCATCTAAATTGAGCAAAATATCCAGGACCTAAGGGAAATGCTAAGTATAGTATACTATGCAAATAACGTAAATTTCCAAAGATGCCACCCAGTCATACAGGAGTTGAAGCACAGGTCACAATCTAGGGGGAGAAGGGATGTTTCCTGAACAGCCAGAACACCCATAAGTTTTCTAATAAGACAGATAGCTCAGACTCGGAGGCATAAGGATAGTTTCCATCCTTGAACTTGCAATCCTCCTGCCTCAGCCTCTGGAGTGGCTGGAATTACAATAATGCTAAACACTGCAGATGAATGAAGGCAGACTGGTATTTGCCTTCACGTCAAAATAATCATCTCCACACTAACCGTTACTTATCCCTTTCCACCACTCCCTCAAATGAGTTGGTTATTACAACTCCAAAGGAAGTCACTTTTCCATCTGTTAAAGGTAAAACTGCCTGAAGAAATCCTTACATTAAGGTACCCTCCAGGAGGTCTGGAAGAGCTCTGCTAACCCATGTCTACAAACCAGGAACTCAAGGCTCTTTGGAAGTGCAAAACTGCAGAGATTGCTTAAGCGTGATAATCCCTGCCCTCTACTCAAGCTGCATGTGTGTTGGGGAAGAGGAAAAGGGTACATTCATGGTATCACAAAACCAGGGAGAAAAGATTCTTAGTAATCCAGAGCCATCTCATCTCTTAGGCTACTTCTTTGGAGAATATAAAGGCATTTTTTTTGGAGGGGATGGGGGACAGCACAGCCAGAGATGCCAAAGTCAGCAGGGTAGAGGTAGAAATAGCTCTGGAAACTTCCTTTCCAGGGTTTCCTTAGTTAGATTTCTGATTAGTTTCTTGTTTATTCACCCTTTCAGAACTGCTACTATGTCTTCAGAAATCCGTGTACTCAGGGGAAATGTCAAGCCCATTAAATAAGAAGTTGAGAAGTTTAGGAGAGTAATATACATGTGAGTAATCCTAGGTCAGGGGGGTAAATAGGTGTTGCAGATTGTGGACATGGGGCCTGGAGCTTCTTGATGATTCAGAACAAACGGGAGACTCACAAGGAGTTCAACAATGTAGAGGAGCTTCTGAGACCCCGGGACTCAAGGACAGTTCAGTGGACCTTTGGTGCTGGTGAAAACTAGGGCTGGGGGTGTAACTCAGTGGTAGAGTGCTTGCCTAGCATGGGTGATGCCCTGAGTTCTACTCAAACATGGGGGTGGCTGGTGACACACCAGCTAAAAACTTTTGGGAAAGGGAGTTCATGTTGCACTTACAAATTTTGATTATTGCCTTCCATTCTCCAAGACAGGCAAGAATTCAATTCAAACTGATGCCCTAAGTGAGCCAGATTCTGTTTTTTAGATTTGTTGTTTCAGTATGTGTGTGTGTCGGTGGGGGGGGGGAGGTACTGGGGATTCCACCGGGCCTTGTGCATGCTAGGCAAATGTTCTATCACTGATCTATACCTACCCAGCCCATCTTTTCCTATATCAAGCCAGGGTCTTGCCAAGTTGCCCAGGATGGCCTTGAAGTTCCTGATCCCACTGTCTCAGCCTCTAGAGTAACTAGGATTATAGACAACAGGGCCCAGCCAGATTCTGCTTTAATTTTAGGTGTTGATGCTGATACTGACAGTCAGCCAGATAATCCACCTGGCCAGCAACCCTGCAGGCAAGACTCAGCTGCCCCAATGCATAAGAAATATGGAAGCAAGGAAATACAAATTCTATGCCTGTTGACCAAACTGGGAAGAAGCAGCTAGATTATTTCTCTCCAGGCCCTAAAGAAACTGGTTACAATTTATAGAAATAAAAGACAGGAGATATATATGTACAGATGTAGCTTTGCTATGTAGCCAGAGAATGTGAATTTCACTTCCTTGGCAGGAGCTTGGTCAGGACTTGCTCTTAATTTCAAAGGGGACCTGTTTCAATGCTGTCTATACATTTGAATTGAACAGATCCTCATTCTGGTCAACTTTAACCATGTCCCTTTGAGCACTTTTCTCAACTAAGCCTCACTTTCCATAGCCTAGTTTTGAAGTGGCACCCCTTTCTCCATAGAAAAGCCCTCTTCACCATGACTGATTTTAGGACTGTCAGCAAAAGAGTCTCTGCAAAAGAGTTCAACGTAGGGCTGGGGATGTGGCTCAAGCAGTAGTGCGCTCACAAGGCATGGGTGCGGCCCGGGTTCGATCCTCAGCACCACATACAAAGATGTTGTGTCCGCCGAAAACTAAAAAAAATAAATATTAAAAAATTCTCTCTCTCTCTCTCTCTCTCTCTCTCTCTCTCTCTCAAAAAAAAAAAGAGTTCAATGTGATAAACTTCTTATATTCATATCATCCTACTTTACTTGGCCACTGGCCGAGAAGATACCAGCACTCCAGGTGCTGGACACCTCCTTATTAGTTTTTCACAAACATCCAGTATAGTACTTTGAGAAATGTGCAAACAAGGCCTCTGACCTTGATCTGGGCTTCACAGAGATTTCTACATTTTTAAGATAAGTTACAAATGGGCTCCATGGCAACAGCTGGCAGGGGGAGAAAAGAGAGGGGAGAAGCAGCTCTCCCCTTCCCAGGTGCTGTCCTTGAAGGGTTAACTTGCCCAGAACAGTGAAAGAAAAAGCTGCGGGTTTATGTGAACTTCTGCAGACTGTGAACTTCTGAGGCCCTCCCCTTACATGCTGGGTATAAAATTCTGAAACTCCCTGAACTCAAGGTTCAGAGGATTCATTGATTACAGCAAAAGCTGTACCCTCTGAACCTAGCTTGAGCCAAATAAAACTGTTTCCTACTATCTTCGGTGCTTTGCCTCGTTTGTCCCTACAACAGTTTAGGCAGAATCTCCCTACCCTGGCTTTTTATCACTGTCAGTATTTAATCAAATTCTTCACTCTCCCTGCCCTTGATGTCTCATCACCCTAACCTAACTTTAGCAAGAATCCTGCTTAGTAATTCTAGTAAGAATCTTCCCTACCCTTGATGTGTTGTAGTAATTTTCCATCCACCATTACCACCAGCCTGTTCCTTAACTATACTTGTGCTCAATGTCAAAAACAAAAACAAACAAACAAAAAATCTTCCATACTGCCAAAGTCTTAACACTTTGACCTATCACAATAGTCCCCAATAAAGTCTTCCTTACTCTGTTAACTAGAGTCAGATAAATTTTTATTAAAAAAAAAAATAAAAGCCCTGTCTATTCTAGGCAACTCTGACATGCATCTCCAAGAACTAAGAGACACTTATCAGGATCTTATTACTTGATAACCTGAGGTGGGAGGGGGTACAGGACCAAATCAAAGGATACCACTTTCTCCCAGTATTTTTTTCATTTCTTAGACAAAAGAGAGAGAGAGAGAGAGAGAGAGAGAGAGAGAAGAAATTACGTCCTTAAATGTAATAAAGTTGTGATATGGAAAAACACCAAAGTGTTTAAAATAACAACAATATCCTAGTAATCATTCCATTTATACAATAAAATTAAATGTGGATTATTAATTAATTTCATATTAATATCCTTCCATAATGTCTTAACATGGGTCATACTCTTTAGACGAACAGCCTTGAGCGGGGGTTGGACACAATACCCTGGCCACATAGTTGTGTCACACTATATCCCAACCACCTCTTATCACAGCCTGGGCTCCTCCAGGGCAGGAGCTCTAGTTAGGAGTCAGGATGGGAAGCTGCTCATCACAGCTGAGCACTGGCCTCTAATTCCATTATCACTTGAAGAGTATCAGGTACAGGACTAGTGTTGTAGCTCAGTGGTAGAGTGCTTGCCTAGCACATGTGAGGCATTGGGTTCAATCCTCAGCACGACATAAAAGTAGATAAATAAAATAAAGATATTTTGTCCATCTAAAAATAAAAATTAGGGGAAAAAAGTATCAGGTACAAAATGTGAACCATAAGAAGCTCTGGACAGGAGCAGTGTGAAGAAGAAGAAGCGAGAACGACCCCCAGACCGACCAAAGCCGAGCGCGCTGCATCCCTGAGTCCAGCGCCTGCCTCCCGTCATGGTCGCCACCATGCCCAAGAGAAAGGCTGAAGGGGATGCTAAAGGAGATAAAGCCAAAGTGAAAGAGGAACCACAGAGAAGATCAGCAAGGTTGTCTGCCAAACCTGCTCCTCCAAAGCCAGAGCCCAAGCCTAAAAAGGCCCCTGCAAAGAAGGGAGAGAAGGTACCCAAAGGGAAAAAGGGAAAAGCTGACGCTGGCAAGGATGGGAATAACCCTGCAGAAAATGGAGATGCCAAAACAGACCAGGCACAGACAGCTGAGGTGCTGGAGATGCCAAGTGAAGTGTGTGCATTTTTGATAACTGTGTACTTATGGTGACTGTACAGTTTGAAATACTATTTTTTATCAAGTTTTATAAAAATGCAGAATTTTGTTTTACTTTTCTTTTAGACTATGTTGTTAGCACACAGAACACTTCATTGTTGTTTTGGGGGTAAGGAGCATATGTCACTAGTAGAATGTCTCCAAAGCTGGATTGCTGTGGGGGAAGACACCTTTCCCTTCTAGTTTTGAGAAACTTCCTCTTTGTTCCCAAGAGGAAGGGATTCCCTGATGTTGGCACACATAGCCACCTTGGCACAAATGCCCTGTGGTATGGAAAAACTCAAACTCATCTGTATGTCCTGCTGTCCCTCTCTGCCATTGGCATAGACTTAATTCCCCTAAACTCAGACCTATTGGGACCTGATTCCCAACGATTGGTTTTTGCCACAGTCCGGCTGCAGCAAAATAACTGGGGGGTGACGAACAACTTGTGTACATTGATACAACAGGAGTGGGAGCCATTTATTGTAGGACAGGAGGGGTATATATACATTCCACACAGCTTATCTAATTAACATAAACTAGATACAGCAGTCAACCAATAAGGAATCTCCACACTTAATGGCTTGCTGGCGTTACTTCATAAACCACTCCCTCTGGCAAAATGCCAGGCGCCATCTTGACTTGTTTACAGACCCTAACAGGTTTTACCAGTGGGGGTGGGGAATCTGGACTTTCCAGTGACATCATTGAGAATAATGTCCCTCAGAAGAGCAGCAGTTCCTTTTCTAGATTGTGGATCTTCAGATTAAAAATTTTTGCCATTTTCCTTTCATTTCCTGAAAGTCAGGGTCAGCTTGTGAAAAGTTGTTAAACAACATGCTAAATGTGAAATGTCAACCCTCACTCTAAACTTTCCCTATTCAGAGCATCAAATGAAGACTTCATTGGGTTTTATAGTGGCTTTCTGATTTTGGTAGTCCATTCAAGAAGGGAGTTTGAAAGTTGTTGTATACTGTTAACGATTGACTGCCCATGTCCTGCCTGAAATACCATGATTGTTTATGAAAAGTACCTTTAATAAAGCTGGATACAGTTTGGCTTGGAAAAAAAAAAAAGAAGCTCTGGACAATATTTTGGTTCGTTAGATATGCAATGATGTAAATAAGTTACTAAATTTGTGCCTAGAACTTTTGAAGTTGTAACTATTATTTATTTATTTATTTTGTTCTGGGGATCAAAATCAGTGCCTCCCACTTGCTAGCCAAGCACTCTACCACTGAGCTACATTCCAGTTCTTTTTATTTTGGAATTACAGGTGGGTACCACTACAATTTACAGAAATTTTATTTTATTTTATTTTATTTTTTGAGAGAGAGAGAGAGAGAGAGAATTTTTTTAATATTTATTTTTTAGTTTTTGGTGGACACAACATCTTTTGAGAGAGAGAGAGAGAGAGAGAGAGAGAGAATTTTAATATTTATTTATTTATTTTTTAGTTCTCGGCTGACACAACATCTTTGTATGTGGTGCTGAGGATAGAACCGGGCCGCACACATGCCAGGTGAGCACGCTACCGCTTGAGCCACATCCCCAGCCCCACAACATCTTTGTTTTGTATGTGGTGCTGAGGATCAAACCCGGGCCGCACACATGCCAGGTGAGCGTGCTACCACTTGAGCCACATCCCCAGCCACCCCTCCCCTTTTTTTTTTTTCAATTTTAATCATAGATGGACACAATACCTTTATTTTATTTGTTTATTTGCATGTGGTGCTTAGGATCGAACCCAACACCTCACACACACTAGGGAGCACCCTACCACTGAGCCACAAGCCCCGCCCCAGAAATTGAATTCTTTATTGCCCCTCTGGTCAAATTATGTCTGGTGCTATTTCTTTATATCATTATTTGATCTCAGTTTTTAAAAAAGAGAGAGAGATTCAAGAAAATTTAAGTCCCTGTCAGAGTGGTAATCACATTTCCCTAGTGGCAATCAACACGAACTGAATGTTATTATTTAGGCTTTAAGGGTTTTTTAAAAATATTTTTAAAAATATTTTTTAGTGTTGATGGACCTTTATTTTATTCATTTATTTATATGTGTGTTGAGAATTGAACCCAGTGCCACACACATGTGAGGCAAGCACTCTACCACTGAGCCACAACCCCAGCCCCAGGCTTTAAGATTTTTTTCCAAGGAGGTATATGCATCTATGTGTCCATTTATAATGGATACAAAAAAAGTCTGCTCTGTTTCTGTTGGGGTATAAATGGCAGATAATGTAGCTTATATTTCTACAGTTTTTTGTTATTTTTAGAATGGCTTATATTTGTATTTTTAGAATGGCTTATATTTGTATTTGGTCATTCTATTAACTTGAGAGCAAGTAGAAATTCTTTTTTTTTTTTTTCATACTGGGGATTAAATTCAGGGGCACTTATCCGTGGAGCCACATCCCCAGCCTCCCTACTGCCTTTTTTAATTTTTATTTTTTAGTTGTAGATGGACACAATATCTTTAATTATTTTTATGTGGTGCTGAGGATTGAACCCAGTGCCTTGCATCTATGAGGCAAGCCCTCTACTGCCGAGCTGTAGCCTCAACCTGCCCAACCCTTTTTATGTGTGTGATTTTTTAAAATTTTATTTTTTATTTATTTTTGCATTACAATTCTTAATACACCTTTATACCATAATTTATCATATCTCTGATTGTATATAAGGTATGTTGACACCAAATTTACATCTTTATACATGTATTTTGTATAACGATGAGGTCTCCTTTCATCATCCATGCTATTCCCCTTCTCCCTCCCTTTACCTCCAACTCCTATTCCCTATCTAGAGGTAATCTTCCTCGCTTGCTCTCCCTCCCAACCCTATTTTGAGTCACCCCCCTTATATCAGAGAAGACATTTGGCATTTGTTTTTGTTTTTTTTCTTTTTCTTTTTTTTTAATTTTTATTGTTGGTCATTCAAAACATTACATAGTTCTTGATATATCATATTTCACACTTTGATTCAAGTGGGTTATGAACTCCCATTTTTACCCCGTATACAGATTGCAGAATCACATTAGTTACACATCCATTGATTTACATACTGCCATACTAGTGTCTGTTGTATTCTGCTGCCTTTCCTATCTTCTACTATCTCCCCTCCCCTCTCCTCCCCTCTTCTCTCTCTACCCCCTCTACTGTCATTCATTTCTCCCCCTTGTATTATTTTTCCCTTTCCCCTCACTTCATCTTGTATGTAATTTTGTATTACGCTGAGGGTCTCCTTCCATTTCCATGCAATTTCCCTTCTCTCTCCCTTTCCCTCTCATCTCTCATCCCTGTTTAATGTTAATCTTCTTCTCATGCTCTTCGTCCCTACTCTGTTCTTAGTTACTCTCCTTATATCAAAGAAGACATTTGGCATTTGTTTTTTAGGGATTGGCTAGCTTCACTTAGCATAATCTGCTCTAATGCCATCCATTTCCCTGCAAATTCTATGATTTTGTCATTTTTAATGCAGAGTAATACTCCATTGTGTATAAATGCCACATTTTTTTTACCCATTCGTCTATTGAAGGGCATCTAGGTTGGTTCCACAATCTTGCTATTGTGAATTGTGCTGCTATGAACATCAGTGTAGCAGTGTCCCTGTAGCATGCTCTTTTTTAAGTCTTTAGGGAATAGACCAAGAAGGGGAATAGCTGGGTCAAATGGTGGTTCCATTCCCAGCTTTCCAAGAAATCTCCATACTGCTTTCCAAATTGGCTGCACCAATTTGCAGTCCCACCAGCAATGTACAAGTGTACCCTTTTCCCCACATCCTCACCAGCACTTGTTGTTTGACTTCATAATGGCTGCCAATCTTACTGGAGTGAGATGGTATCTTTTTTTTTTTTTTTTTTTAAAGACAGAGAATTTTTAATGTTTAGTTTTCGGTGGACATAACATCTTTGTATGTGGTGCTGAGGATTGAACCCGGGCCGCACGCATGCCAGGCGAGCGCGCTACCGCTTGAGCCACATCCCCAACCCCAAGATGGTATCTTAGGGTGGTTTTGATTTGCATTTCTCTGAGTGCTAGAGATGGTGAGCATTTTTTCATGTACTTGTTGATTGATTGTATGTCCCCCTCTGAGAAGTGTCTGTTCAGGTCCTTGGCCCATTTGTTGATTGGGTTATTTGTTATCTTATTGTCTAATTTTTTGAGTTCTTTGTATACTCTGGATATTAGGGCTCTATATGAAGTGTGAGGAGTAAAGATTTGTTCCCAGGGTGTAGGCTCCCTATTTACCTGTCTTATTGTTTCTTTTGCTGAGAAAAAACTTTTTAGTTTGAGTAAGTCCCATTTGTTGATTCTAGTTATTAACTCTTGTGCTATGGGTGTCCTATTGAGGAATTTGGAGCCTGACCCCACAGTATGTAGATCGTAGCCAACTTTTTCTTCTATCAGACGCAATGTCTCTGATTTGATATCAAGCTCCTTGATCCATTTTGAGTTAAATTTTATGAATGGCGAGAGAAAGGGATTCAGTTTCATTTTGTTGCATATGGATTTCCAGTTTTCCCAGCACCATTTGTTGAAGATGCTATCCTTCCTCCATTGCATGCTTTTAGCCCCTTTATCAAATATAAGATAGTTGTAGTTTTGTGGATTGGTTTCTGTGTCCTCTATTCTGTACCATTGGTCCACCCGCCTGTTTTGGTACCAGTACCATGCTGTTTTTGTTACTATTGCTCTGTAGTATAGTTTGAAGTCTGGTATTGCTATACCGCCTGATTCGCACTTCCTGCTTAGCATTGTTTTTGCTATTCTGGGTCTTTTATTTTTCCATATGAATTTCATGATTGCTTTCTCTATTTCTACAAGAAATGCCATTGGGATTTTGATTGGCATTGCATTAAACCTATAGAGAACTTTTGGTAATATTGCCATTTTGATGATGTTAGTTCCGCCTATCCATGAACAGGGTATATTTTTCCATCTTCTAAGATCTTCTTCTATTTCTCTCTTTAGGGTTCTGTAGTTTTCATTGTATAAGTCTTTCACCTCTTTTGTTAGGTTGATTCCCAAGTATTTTATTTTTTTTTGAAGATATTGTGAATGGAGTGGTTGTTCTCATTTCCATTTCAGAGGATTTGTCGCTGATATACAGGAATGCCTTTGATTTATGCGTGTTGATTTTATATCCTGCCCCTTTGCTGAATTCATTTATTAGCTCTAATAGTTTCTTTGTAGACCCTTTTGGGTCTGCTAGGTATAGAATCATGTCACCTGCAAATAGTGACAATTTAAGTTCTTCTTTTCCTATTTTTATGCCTTTAATTTCTTTCGTCTGTCTAATTGCTGTGGCCAGTGTTTTGAGAACTATGTTGAACAGAAGTGGTGAGAGAGGGCATCCCTGTCTTGTTCCAGATTTTAGAGAGAATGCCTTCAATTTTTCTCCATTCAGAATGATGCTAGCCTGAGGCTTAGCATAGATTGCTTTTACAATGTTGAGGTATGTTCCTGTTATCCCTAGTTTTTCTAGAGTTTTGAACATAAAGGGATGCTGTACTTTGTCGAATGCTTTTTCCACATCTATCGAGATGATCATATGGTTCTTATTTTTAAGTCTATTGATGTGGTGAATAACATTTATTGATTTCCGTATATTGAACCAGCCTTGCATCCCAGGGATGAATCCTACTTGATCATGGTGCACAATTTTTTTGATATGTTTTTGTATCCGATTTGTCAGAATTTTATTGAGGATTTTTGCATCTAGGTTCATTAGAGATATTGGTCTGTAGTTTTCTTTCTTTGAAGTGTCTTTGTCTGATTTAGGAATCAGGGTGATGTTGGCCTCATAGAATGAATTTGGAAGTTCTCCCTCTTTTTCTATTTTCTGAAATAGCTTGAAAAGTATTGGTATTAGTTCCTCTTTAAAGGTTTTGTAAAACTCTGCTGTATACCCATCCGGTCCTGGGCTTTTCTTAGTTGGTAGTCTTTTGATGGTTTCTTCAATTTCCTCAATTGATATTGGTCTGTTTAGGTTGTCTATATCCTCCTGACACAATCTGGGCAGATCATATGACTTAAGAAATTTATCGATGCCT